CGAACCGACGAAAGCCGAACCGTTTGCGCCGAAGCTGCGGCCCGAGCTGCCGCAGCCGCCGAAGCCGGAGCCCGCGCAGCGCGAGCCGGCACCGCGCGCCCCGAAGCGGTTGGCCTCGCGCAGCGCGGCGCTCTCGAAGTGGGCGACGCGCCGCTCCTCGAAGGACTCGTCGAACAGCTCGGAGCAGGGCCACTTCTACAACTTGCCCGCGCGCGCCGGCTTGCGCAAGGTGCCGCTGCCGCTCAAAACGGCCGTGCGCGCGTCTTCGTCGAGCAGCTCGGACGCCGAGCCGCCGAAGCGCGCGCCGTTCGTCCCGAAGACTGACGCCGCCGAGCCGCCCGCTCAGCTCGAGAAGCCCCTCACGCCGGTTGCGACGCCGCGCGCGCCCTCTGACGAGGCGCTGCGGCAGACCGCGCCGGAACCGGTCGCGCTGACCGAAGCGAAGCCGGCTGCGGCGACGCCGAACACTGCCGCGACGGAGCAGCTCGCGTCGCCGCCTGCCGTTTTGCCGGGGCCGCCGGCGCCCGCGCGCTCCAGTTCGGGCGGCGCGCTGCGCCGCTCGCGAAGCTCGCGCTCGCTGGTCGCCGAGGCGCTCGAGTTCCGCGCGGCGCCCGCGCACAGCGCCGGTTTCTCGGCGCGCTCGGCGTCAGCGCGCTCAGACTCAGTGCGCTCGACGGCGAGCAGCACGTACTCCGAGAGCGAGGCGAGCGCGCCCGCGGAGCTCGCGCTGACGCGCGAGCCGGCGTTCGCGCGCCGGCCGAGCTTCCCAAGCGCCGCGGCGCCAATGCAACCGCGGGCGTGTGGCGACGCGCCGCCGGGGCACGTCTGCCCGACGCTGCAGGAGCTGTTGCTGCAGAACACGCTGGCCGTGCGCGAGCAGCAGGCGCGCCGCGCGCAGCGCGAGCAACGCAACGCGCTGCGCCGCAGCGCGAACGCGGAGCGCGAGGCGCGCAACGCGCTCGTGGACGAAGCGCGCGCGGTGTACGTCAAGAACAAGTATTACCTCTGTCTGGTCGACAAAGAAGGCAAGGCGATGTACAACACGAACTTCGGCAACGCATTCTGCCTCAGCTGCAGAGATCAAATTCTGCCGACTCCGCACAAAGTGGTGCGCTGCAGCGTGTGTCTGAGTTTGAACTTCGACGACCAGCCGCTGCTGCCGTAGGCGCCGCCGCGCGCGCTCGGCGCACCCTGAAGAGCGGCCGAATGGCCTGCATCAGGCTCGGGAAGATCGCGCGGCTGACGGTGTCGAGCCGGTTGACGAGCAGTTTCGCGCGGAGCCGCTCGCTCGGCGCGTTGAAGCAGGCGGGGCAGTTCTCGTTGATCACGGGCAATGCTAGCGTGCGCGCGAGCGCGCTCAGCTGCGCCTCGCGCAGGTAGAGCAGCGGACGCACCACGGCGAGCGCGTGCGGCGGAAGCCCGTCGCGCGCGGGCACAACCGTCGCATAGTGCGCCTTCATCGTGGTCAACTGGCTGTTGAAGAACGCGCTCATGAAAAAGCTCTCGACGAGGTCGTCTGCGTGCTGGCCGAGCGCGAGCTTCGAGCAGCCGAGCTGGCGGCAGTGCGAGTACAGCAGCCCGCGCTTCAGCCGCGCACAGAAGGAGCACATCGTGCTGCCCTGCAGCTTCTGCTGCGCGAGCGCGACGATAGGCAGCTCGAGCCGCGCGAAGCGCACGCCGAGCCGCCGCATGTACGTCTCGAGCTGCGCGGGCTGGAAGCTCGGGTGCTGCGGGTCGACGGTCGCCGCAACGAGCTCAAAGGGCACGCCGCTGCGCTGCTGAAAGTGCCGCAACAGGTGCAGCAGCGAGAGCGAGTCTTTGCCGCCCGAGACAGCGACCAGCACGCGATCGCCCGGCACGATCATGTCGAACTCGTGCACCGCGTGGCAGAACTTTTTGTACACCTGCGCAGGGATGAGCTTTTTGTACTCTCTGACGCTGTACGCAGCGTCGTCAGCGGACGCGCTTGGCGCGCAGCCGCAGGAGGCGCCTGCGCGAAACACTTCCTCGCGCCCAGCGGGAGCATGCGGCACTGCGTCCTCAGCGCGGGACGCTTCCTCGCGCCCGACGGGAGCGTGCGCCACGGCGTTCTCGGCGCCGTCGGCTTCGTCAAAGAAAGGCGCGACTTCGAACGGCGCGTCGCGCGGGCGGCCAGCCTGTGCGAGCTCCGCCGCGAGCTGCGGCGCGGGTGCGCCGGCGCTGCGCACCAGCGACTCGAAACCGTCAGAGGGCAGCGCAAACCACACAAGCGGCGCGACCTGCGGCGCGCGCAGCCGCGCGTCCTCGACCGGCCGCTGCAGCGGCAGCAACGTATCGCCCGCGCGCAGCCGTCTCTCCTCGACAACCTGCGCGAAAAGCGCGTCGGCCGCAGCGAAAGCCGCCGACGCCGGCCGCGGCGCCGCGTCCAGCAGACTCGCGCCGCCCAGCAGCGCGGCCAGTGAGACGCGCAGCGCGCGGTCCGGGTGCGAATCGAGCCACCACTCGGCGGTCTCGAAATCGTAACGGTAGAACGGCAGCAGCGCGAACGCGTGCTCCGCCACCCAGCAGATCGCGCGCGCGACGTACGCCACCTTCTCGAGCGAGTCGCTGAACGCGAAGCTCACGCGCACGAAGCCCGGGCGCAACAGGTCGCCCGAAGAGGCTGTGACCACGCGCGCGTACTCCTCGTCGAGCGCGCCGTCCGGCGTCCAGAGCGCCAGCAGCTTGTGCGCGAACGGCCCAGCGCAGCTGCAGCCCGCGCGCGCCTGCACGCCAAACAAGTCGTTCAGCAGCTTGCAGACGAAGTTGTGATGCAGGTAGAGCCCGCCGCGCACGCAGCTGTTCGCGAGCTGCCCCGCGACCGCGGCGCCGCGCGGCTGCAGCGCGCAACCGTACTTGAGCGCGAGCGCGAAGAACGGCTTGCGCGAGAACGCGGCGGCGTTCGGCAGCGTGAGCGCGCCGAGCAGCTGCACGCGCGCGCAGTCGCACACGCCCGCGAAAAACTCCGCACACAACGCGGAGTAGCCTTCGCGCAGCGCGCGCAGCGGCGTGCGCTGCAACAGCTCGAGCGCGACGCCCAGCCGCAAGACGCCGGACAGATTGGGCGTGCCGGGCTCGTGCTTGCGCTCCGCGGCGGGTGCCACAACTTGCGCGCTTTTGGTCACGAAGCGCACAGTGCCGCCCGCGAGGAAGCGCGGCTGCGCGCCCGCGAGGAACGCGCGGCGCGCGACCAGCACGCCCGGCGTGCCGTGCGCGCCATGCAACTTGTGAGGCGAAAAGCAGATCGCGTCGGGGAAGCTCGCGAGGTCCGCCGCGAGCTGCTCCGCGAGGCACTCGAGCCCGCCCGCCGCGTCGCAGACCACGAAGCCGCCGAAGCAGTGCGCGAGCCGCGCGGCGCTCGCGACGGCGTAAACGCAGCCCGTTACGTTCGAAACGGTGTTCAGCACGACCACAATCGGCTCGCCGGCGGCTGCGGCCGCCGCGAGCCGCGGCTCCGCGGCCGCGAGGTCTATCCGAGCCTCCGCGCCGAACGGCAGCCACTCGACCGCGAGCGCGGCGCCGGCGGCGCGCAGCGCGCGGAGCTGCAAGAACGCAGAGTGGTGCAACGAGGGGTCCAGGAAGAAGCGCGCCTGCGGCTGCGGCTGCGGCTGCGCAGCTGCCGGT